AGCTTTGGATGGGTTATGATTTTCTTTTGATTATTACTAGATAGGTAATTTGTACTATGGTGAATCAATTTTTTTTTAATATAAAATAATAATATCAAGATGATAAAAATCAAAGTTAACTTGGGTTAATTTTATTAATACATGACATGAGATATGAGATCAAGATGACTTGTAAAAATAAAAAAAAATTACAAAATTACAAAATTCAAGGTTGAATAATCTAATGTAAGAGGATAAAACAAAAAAATTAAAAAAAAATTGAATTAACTCTACTTACTCACAACTTATGATATGAGATCAGCATAACCTGTGATATAAAATCAGGATAAGAAAATTGGATTTTCAAAAGAATGACCTAGCAAAAAATCAGAATAAATTGAAAAAAAAACATTAAAAAAAAAACTTGAGCTAACCTAAGCTAACTTGACTGATATACATTTAGGATAACTTTAGTGGAAAAAGGGGGTGAGGTAACAAGGTTTAAAAGCCAATAATTTAATATTAAATGATGAAGTTGAAAAAAAAATATCATAAAAAAATCAAGAAAAAAAAAACTCAAGTTAATCCATCGCTCGCAATATGAAACCAAGATAAAAAAAATAGACTTAGAAAAAAGACTGGGTTAGTTTTTCAAAAACAAAATAGAAAAAAGATTAACCCACATTCGGGATAACTCTACAAAAAAAAATTACAAAATTCAAGGGCTAATAATTGAATGTCAAGAGATAAAATTGTTAAAACAAAATCAATTTCATTAAAAAAAAAAAACACCAAGAAAAAAAGAATGACTCAACTTAGATTAAGTCGACTAACTCATTATCTAAAACATGGAATCATAATAACTTAACAAAAAAGAAAATAAAACAAATAACAAAACTTAACATCTAATAATTAAATGTCAAATGATTAATTTAAAAAAAATAATAAAAAAAACTAAAAAAACATCAAATTTTCTAGAAAGATAAAAAATTCCAAGAGTTTGGATCTTGGTGGGCCAACAACACATCCAAGCCTTAATAGCAAAGCATAAACTTGTAATTCTGCAAGGCAAAGCCCACGCGCCTAAGCCTTATAATTTTTTTTTTACTTTTTAAAAGCTAGGCAACCTATCAACCTAGTCCCTCGTGCTTCTTGTTCACCTTTTTGTTTTTGTTTTTTTTTTTTTTAAAAAAAATATAGATGATGAATTATTTAGAATATGGTTACTAATATAGTGGATGGAAAGTTAATAAAGCTATTTAAAAAAAAAACTATTTTCAATCTATTTTAATTTAAAAAGCCTAATAAACATCCTTATAATGGCAAAAAAATTTGCTCTCTCGACCAACATTTATTTTTTAAATAAGATGAAAGTTCAAAAACATCTTAATAGAATTTATTTTATTGAATAAAATTCAATAACATTAAATTAGCATTTTTTATCATTAAAATTTAATTGACCAATAATTTTCTCTCTTATTTGTTATAATTGGGTGACTTTATTTCTCCACTCTAATATCTAGGGGCCCAAAATAAATAAAAATAACTTTTGAACAAAAATCTATAAAGAATGAAAAAGAAGAAAAAGGAAAATAGATGGACCAACATGTATTTTTTTTTTCATGTAAATTTGAGTTTGGGCATGGTTATCTCTTTATTTTACACTTTAATCCTATTTTTTGGAATGTTTAATTTCTTAATAGTTTTTTAGAAATTGATCATTAATTTGGGTATAAAAGACTACAATTGAAAAAAAAGAAGAAGTTTAAGAGTTAAATTTGAAAACTTCTTTTTTTTTTTCCTGTTAATGTGAATTACTATAGTGCAAAGCATAGCCTTTTTAGCATATGTTGTAAGAAGTAGACATGGGTAGAGAAGATTTGGCTAATTGCAGTTTCAAGCAAGTGCAGCGCAATGATAATTTGGGAGGTCAAATTTTGATGTAGTGGTTGGAATTACAGTTATGATCATTTTTTAAAATATTTTTTTATTTATAAATATATTAAAATAATATTTTTTTTACTTTTTAAAATTTATTTTTGATATAATATATCAAAACAATTGATTGAAAAATATATAAAAAAATAAATTTTAAATATTTTAAAAATCAAAGCTATACTACATAAACGAACATAGCTTTATTTGCATCAAAGGATTTTGGCACCATGAATATTATTATTAAAAATATATTTTACTCTCATAATAACTTCACTTATTTTAAAAAAATAATAAGTTCTTTTTAATATTAATTTAATTTTAAATTTTAAAAAATTAAAAATAAAATAAACCTAAAACAAATCCATTAGATGGACGTTGATGAAGTACTTATGCTTGTATTTTATTTTATTTACTTTGGCTACATGCATGTCCTTTTAATGCAGGAGGATTTTCAAGGGAAGTTTATTTTTTTATTTAATTTAGAAAAATATTTTTTTATGATGTTTTTATTTTTT